AGTATTGTCTTTGGGGGTGTATGTTAAATTACTTGATCCTGTTCTATCTCAAAAGAGATAAGAAATTACTTTGTCTTTGTGGATTCAAGTTACTTTCCAGATCACAGGAAGATGAACTATAATCAGAGGGCACTGCACTACGTCTGTTTGAATTTTCTGTGATTAAATTAATGATCTTATTTTTTTCATTTTATGAAAAAATAAAACAAAATTTCATAACAAATAATAAGAGAATAACTACATAAGAGAATAATACACTGTGTATCATTATGTTCAAAGTAGTTACTCAGAGTACAAGACACCAAAAAGATTCTTACAAAAAAGACACAGAAAACACAAAACTTTCTTTTCAATGATCTAAGATAAAGTAGTAGTATAAATGAAACAAAATAGCATATATATTAAAATATTTTTGAAACAACAAAATACATAATTTGGGGAAATATTTGAACTTTTCCCTATTTAATATTTATCTCTCTTCTATTTTGCCCTTTATTTGTATATTTATGTATATTTCATGTTTCTCATACAAGAGAAACAATAAGATATTTGAGCTTGTAGGTCTGACTTACTCCACTTAACATTATGTTTTCAAGTTGCATCATTTACCTACAAATGTCTGAAGTTTATTTTTCTTTATGGCCACTGTTATAGCTTGTATCTAGATGTCCCCCTAAAGCCTCATGTGCTCATAGGTGGGGCTTTGTGAGGTGGTTGGATCTAGGGTGTGTGATGCTGTGATTAAGGATGTAGAACCAAATTGGTTTAGCTTAGTTTTGGATGTGGATAATGGAAGGCCCACCCAGTGTGTACAGGTAATGACCAATAGGCTTACATAGGGAAAGATAGAAGGCAGGGTGCTTGCTACTTGCTGCCTCCTGCCTGCTCTGCCATGGACTGTTTCTCCTCTGTGATCCCCATCTGCCATGCCATCCAGCCTTTCTGATCAAATAGCTGTACATGCCTGGGGTTGGGTTCTGCTTAAAGCCAATTGATTATGGACTGAAACCTCTCCCAACTGTGAGCTGAAATAAACCTTTCCTCCTTTAACTTGCAGGTATCAAATATTTTATCTCAGCAATGAGAAAAGTATGGTGTGTTTTCTTTAATTTTGGTACTGGGGATCAAACTCAGGTCCCTGTGCTTGCGAGGCAGCCCTTAGCAATGGGAAAAGTAAGACAGCTGTGTAGTACTCCACTGTGTCTAAGTTCTACATTTTTCTAGCCTATTCATTTGTTGATGGACATATATGCTATTTCCAAGCTCTTGCTATTATAAATTGTGCAGCTCTAAACATGGGCATGAATATATCCCTTTAATATGATGATTTTAAATCTTTTGGGAAGATACTGAGAAAGGAGATAGCTGAATCAATTGAATTTCTATTTTTAGTGTTTTGAGGAATCACCACACTGATTTCCAGAGTGATTGTCCTAGTTTACCTTTCCACCAACAATGTTGAAGAGTTCCTTTTTTCCCATATCTTCACTAGCATTTGTTACTATTAGATTCTTTTGATGATAGCCATTCTTTTAAGTGTAAAATGATATCTCAGTATAGTTTAAATTTGCAGTTCTCTGATGGCAAGCAATGATGAGCATTTTTTTCATGCATTTATTGACCATTTGTACTTCTGAGAAGAGTATATTCATTTCAGTTGCCTATTTTTTCACTGGGTCTTTAATTTTGGAAAGTCTAATTTTTTGAGTTCTTTATATATTCTTGTTTTGCTTAAATTCCTTTATTGGTACATTTTAGGTATACAATACATTTACATTTATCATTGGGTATTTGTACCTGTATATGATGTGTCTTGGTTCTTATTTTTTCTCTATTCCCTGTCCTCCCTTCACCACCTCCACCCTTCCCTACAAAGACTTTGTTCCGATTTTTTTATTTTCTCATAATTTTTCCTTTCCCTTCTTTTCTTTCCCCTTCCCCTCCCACTTCCCCTACCCCTTTGAACCTTTTCTTCCTATTTCAAAGTATCAATCATTTGTTTTAATCATTTTAATCCTTATTTATACTTTAAGTTTCTCATACCAGAGAAACTATTCAGTGTTTACACCTGTGTCCTATTTATTTCACTTAATAGTATGACCTCAACATGCATCCATTTAGCTATAAATGTCTTTAGTTTCTCATTCTTTATGACGGAGTAGTACTCATTTTATAAAAAAAAAAACCCACATCTTCTTTATCCAGTTTCCAATTGATGGGCACTTGGGCTGTTTCCAAGCTTTAGCTATTATGAACTGTGCCACTATTAAACATGGGTGCACATATATCACTATGGTATGATTCTTTTAATTCTCTTGGGAAGATATCCAGCAGGGGAATAGCTGGGTCAAATAGGACCTCTAGCCCTAGTTCATTGAGGTATCTCCATACTGATTTCCACAGTGGTTGCACCAGTCTGCACTCCCACCAACAATGGAGAAGGGTTCCTTTCTGCCCACACCCCCGCCAGCATTTGTTACTGGTTGATTTCTTGATAGCAGCCATTCTTTCTGGGGTGAGGCGGAATCTCAGTGTTGTTTTCATCTGTATCTCTCAGATGACCAGTGATGCTGAACATTTTTTCATGTTTATTTGCTGCCTTTATTTGTTTGTCTGAGAAATGTCTGTTCATTTCAGATGCCATTTTTGAATTGGGTCTTTAAATTTGGGGGGTCTGATTTTTTTTGAAGTTCTTTTTTTTTTTTGGTACTGGGGATCGAACTCGGGACCTTGCGATTGCAAGGCAGGTGCCAGAACCACTGAGCTAAATCCCCAGCCCTTTTTTAAAGTTCTTTATAGATAGTAGTCCTTTGTCTGAGTCTTTATATATTCTTTTTTTTTGGTACCGGGGATCGAACTTGGGTCCTTGAGCTTGCGAGGCAGGTGACAGAACCACTGAGCTAAATCCCTGGCCCTGAGTCTTTATATATTCTTGATGTTAGTCTTCTGTTTCTGAAATACTTGGCAAAAAATTTTCCCCTTCTGTAGGTTGTCTCTTTACTCTGTTGGTGATTTCCATTGCTGTCCAGAAACTTTTTAATTGTTATCTCTTCCTGTTGAATAGTTTTATCAACTAATATATAAAGTTCCTCTTTGTCTCTTTTGATCAGCTTTCGCTTGAAATCAACTTTGTCTGCAAAGAGGATAGCCACTCCTGCTTGTTTTCAGGTTCCCACTGCATTTGATATTGTTTTCCATCTTTTGATTTGTAGCCTATGAATTTCTTTTTGCGTTAAATGTGTTTCTAATACACAACTTTCTGCTGGATTTTGTTTCTTGATCCTTTCTGCTAATCTGTGTCTTTTTATTGACTAATCAATCTATTTGCATTTATAGTTATAATTGATAGGTATTGACCTATTCCTATCATTGTATTATTTTCTAGTTAGATTTGTTTTGTTTTGCTTTCTTTCCCTTCTGCTTAATTCCTAGTCCTACTTGATGTATTAATTTCATTGGACCTTTTGCCATTGTTAGCTTCATTGTCTCTTTCTAGAATACCCTTGAGAATTATTTGGAGTATTAGTTTGGTGGTAGTGAATTTTGGGGTTTTTTTTAAATGGAAGTACTGTATCTTATTTCTTCATCAATTTTGAAAGATAATTTTGCAGGATATAACAGTCTGGGTTGGAAGTTATTTTCTTTATAAACTTGAAACACTTCATTCTAAGGTCTCCTTGCCTTTAAGATTTGTATTGAGAAATCTGTTGTAATTCTGATGAGTTTTCCTTTATTGGTGATTTGTTGTTTCTCTCTGCAGCCTTTGAGATTCTGTTCTTGTGTTGTATTTCTGGTATTTTAATTATTATGTGGCATGGAGTGGTTTTTCTGATCATGGCTGTCATGAGGTTCTACATGCTTCACTTATCTGTGTTAAATTCTTTTTCTATGTCCAAAAAGTTTTCTGTTATTACTTGTGTCAACAGGTTTCTTATGCCCTTTGTACTGACTTCTGATCTTTTACTAATTCCAATTACTCTTATATTAGTCCTCTTTGAATCATCTAGGAGCTGTTGGATCCATTTTTTATGTTCTCTTGTTGATTTTAAGGTATCTAATTAATTGATCATTGACCTTTCCTCTTTCCTCTAGATCTGACACTGTCTTCACATTGGTCATTTCTGCTACCCATACTTTTCATTGTGTTTTTGAGCTCCTAGATTTCTGTTTGGACTTTTCTTATGGACACTCATTCTTTCCTATGTTGGGCATTCATGTTTTGCATTTCTTTCACTCCACTAGCTGTTTAGTAGTGTCTTCTCTAGACTCACTGATCATTTGTTTCATCAGTGTCATTATCTGATTAGTTACATATTTTTATGTTTCCAATTGCCTTATTGAGCTGTTTTACCTCCATTGGTATCCTTTCATACTTATTGTTATCTTTTGTGTAGGTTATGATTTCCTCCCCCTCAATGCCCCTGGTTTTGAGAGAGTTGGGTGTTTTGGGCACATTTTGTTGCCTTGTCTTTTCATGTTTCTGGTTTTGTTTATTTTTTTGTGCTGGAGTTTTCAAATTCTTTGGCCTAGTGCCCTGTTCTCCAGGAGTACGCTACAGTAATCTTTATGACCCCCGGGCAATGCAGGTATTGGCATAGAGATTAAACCAATTGCCAGTCATTACTATCTTACCTTTTCTACTGTAATAAATTCAGAAACAACAATGGCATCAAATATCAATTGGTTTTTGCCAAACCCCAGGGACTACTCATGAACAGCCCTTCACCAAAACAAAGAGGATTATGATTTTAGTGAAGATGATTAGGCTCCCCTTATATTGACCTATAGTAATTCAGACCACTTACTTTTGCTTGATGTTGGCAGCAGTACCAGAGCTCAACATACCACCAGACCTTATGTCTTCTTCTTCAGGACTATCCCCTCTAAAGATTACTTCCACTGAATGTGGCCTCTCACAGCAGAACACAGGCCCTATGATCTTCTTGGTCTGATTCCAGGCCTCCCAGGAGATCCCCAGGGATCGCTATTTAGCCATCACCCTCTCCAGCCCTATCTTCCAAGGCTGTCTCTTACCTGGTCTCTGTGGTAGGGTACCATTTCTCCTCTCCTCCTGGGTGTTGGGCTCTCATTTGATCAGGTTGGTCTGCAGTTGTTACTTCTGTTGCCTTGTGCTGTAGAGAACCTAGAAATGAGGTGGGCTGGGGGAGCAGTTCCTAGGTCCTCTTGGCTGTGAATGGGACCTGGGCAGGCTTCAGCTATGACTGGGGGTAGAACTTGAGATTCCTAGGTACTGCTGGCTTGGAATGGGGCCTAGGCCAGCCCCGGCATCAGCTGGGAGGTAAGGGCATAGTTTCTGGGTCCTCCTGACTGGCAGTGGGGCAAGTGTGTGTCAGTGTTGGCTGCAGGCAAGGTACAAGGTTCCTTGGTTCCTGTTTGAATTCCTTAAGACATATGGATGTACTCTTGTCTGAAGTTAAAAACTGTAGAAAGATAAGATCCAGCCACAAAACACAGAGAGAAAAGATTTCTACATCTGCAAAATAATTAGAAGAAATTCAATGCCTTTTGAAAAACTACTTTAACAAATTAAGAAGGTGGCAAATCCTCCTTCCAACTTTTCAGAGCTTGATTAAACAGTCATGTATTAATTATATACTTGATTAAACAGTCATGTATTAATTATATACATGATTAAAACAGTTATGCATTAATTATATCAGTTTTCTAGTAAAGAAAATTAAATCAAGATTCTTCCATGAAAGTCATGTATTCTCACAAGCATGAAAATAAAAATTGATAAGAAATGGTAAGAATTTGTCAAGATTCAACTGACAATATTTTAATTGAACCAAATTTTCTCATCAGATATTCATTCTTAACAAATTTCTTAGGTTCATACTGGGAATTTGTATCTGTATGTGATATATATTGGTTTTTGTTTATTCCCATTCCCCTTTCCTCCCTTCCACTCCTTTACCCCTCCTTCTTTACAAAAGCTTTGTTTCTGTTTTTGCCTTCTTTTCTAACCATGAACATGTGCTTTATAGTAAAGATGAGGTGTAAGAACTCAAAATTTATAAGCCTCTTTCCAAGCATCTTTGAATAGACTGTCAATTTTTTGAAACATTACTAATTAGATATATCAACTAAGCTGCACACTCTTGTGTGTTATTGCCTTACATTAATAAGTTTCTGGAAATGACTAAAATATCATAAATTATTTATAAATATCTTCAAACACTGAAGTGGCATGTGAATCAAGTTGTTTGGAAAATTGATGTCCAAATAGAAATATATTTATTTATTTATGGATTTTTAAAGAGTGCTACAGATCAAACCCAAGGCCTCATGTGTGTTGTCAAGCACTCTACCAATGAGCTTTACCTCCAGTCCTAAATTTATTTGCTGTTAATATTACTTACTGGGTCCCAAGTGAATTCTCAGGAGCTTCATAGTAAATCTATATGTTTTTTTCTTTGACTTCAAAGGTAGAAGACATATTTCATTGTCATTTTTAAAAATGAAAGTAATGGGGCCAGGGATTTAGCTCAGTGGTTCTGCCGCCTGCCTCACAAGTGCAAGGACCTGAGTTCGATCCCTGATACCAAAAAAATAAAAATAAAAATAAAAATGAAAGTAATGATAAGTATAAAATCCATATAGGAAAGAATAGAAAAGGTAAACCAAAAGTTACTCTCTAGCTCTTTTAAAGTAAAATATACTGACTTTCAAGAAGTAATTTAAAAGTCCAAGGCAAAGTAGCTTGTGCATTTTTGTTTACTTTGTCAGAAGTAGAGTATAAAATTAGTATTATTTTCAAGGAATGGATATCATATTGCTAGTATAAATGAATGCTTTTCAGTGAATGATGACAAAGTAATATGAAAGAGACAAAATCAACCAAACTTTTTGCATATATCCTGTAAACATAAATTCAGAACTTTGGTTTTATCAAAACTGTACAAACTTTAACCCCATTTATGTCTATGTCAAATAACATTTATAGGTTCTTTGTTTTCACTTTCAAAACAGGCCTTTGGTGCCTTACAGTGATTTCATTTTTCTTAGCTTAATCTATAACCAAAATTAAACTAAAATAATCATCCATGTCATCTAAAAAAACCACACCTTTCCAAACAACATCATGGGAAAGGAGAGAGGCAGTGACCTGGCACTGATGACCATCAATCGGAAACTGAGAACTAAACTGATAGGCCCTGGAAGACCAGAAATTTGATAGGAAACTTTCTATAGCAGCTTAGAAACAAATGATACTTTGCATAAAATTTAATCTATTTCCTAGGATTTTTGCATTTTCAATTACATTCATATTTTGATATCATGGTCATAGTTATGGTCTGAACAAGACCATATATTATAATATTTGAGGTATTATAAAGTAAATTAATACTTTGTTTTATGAAAATATTATTGTATTGTTCAAAAACCAAATCATTGTTCTAAAGTAAAATGCACATAAGATCTTGCTGATTTATTTAGACATTCACAGTAAAACTTATTGTCTAAATAACCTGTTCTTCCTACCCTCACTACCCACCAAATATTAACTCTGTACGTGGTACCCCCACCCTGGAGATACTAAAGAACAGAGACTAATGCTTACCTAAATAAACAGTGTCTTTTCCAGCCCCTGCTTCCCATGGCTGCTTTCAGTAAAGGTTAGAAAAACTAAGTACTTGTTTCTTTCCTTTCCTTGCAGTTAGAGGTGAATATATCACATAAATCTGGACAATTTTCAAATGAAGAGGCTACTGGAAAGTGCTTTGGGGAAAACTAAATTTTCTATATAAAAAGAGACTATTGGGCCGGGGATTTAGCTCAGTGGTTTCGCTGCCTGCTGCACAAGCACAAGGACCCGAGTTCAATCCCTGGTACCAAAAAGGGACTATAGCAATCCTCTTACAATGGTAAGAGAAAAGGATGGAGAATTGCAATGACCTTAACTTAGACATTGTTGAGCTATGCCATCATCAGAAGAAGATGCCTACAAGTTCTTCCTTTTGTGACAAAATAGCCCTTTCTGTTTAAGCCTCTTCTTATCAGATACTCTGTTACTTGGGGCCAATAGCTTTTCTAAGGCATTGCCCTCAAAGAGTTCATATGCTACTGAGAAAAACGTAATCATATGCCCCAAGAAGGTAACAGTGCTATAAATACATTGCTTAACATCTTCCATCCCCACATCCCCCTTGCTGCATTCTGAATATCAGAGTCAGGCTGTTTGCTGGAAGGGCGGGCAAGTGATCTCTCCAAGCATCTGTTGGAATTTATACATAAAACTGCTTTTGCTTTTGGTTGAAGGACAGAGAAGGGGTGTGTGTGTGTGTGTGTGTGTGTGTGTGTGTGTGTATACAGGTGCATGTGTGTGCTTAGATCAGACTAACCTTGCACTATTTTTTTTTTACCTTGCACTATTAATGCAACTAAAATATAGTCCATACCCTAAGCTGAGGAGGACTCTAAAAAATGTGACTTTTGACTGACAAAACAGATTTTTGGCAGACACTTTAACTTTTCATCCAATTCAAGTTGCTGTTGGGGATACTGGGAAGGCTTTCCACTAATAGAAATAGAGAAGAGAAAGGGGGTCATTTGAACAACAATGAAGAAGAGAGAATGCTTACTGAAAGCTGAGTCACTGGAGTATGTTTTCTGATAAAAAGAAAGAAGATTTTGGCCAGGGATTTAGCTCAGTGGTTCCACCACCTGTCTCACAAGTGCAAGGTCCTCACAAGTGCAAGGTCTTCAGTTCAATCCCCGGTACCACCACCACCACCACCCAAAAAAAAAGAAAGATTTTTTTTTTTTTGGATACCAGGGATCAAACTTGGGATCTTGTGCTTGTGAGGCAGGCAGCAGAACCACTGAGCTAAATCCCCAGTCCTAAGAAATAAGATTTTATTCTTTTGGGGGTTTATATTATATAATAGAATAGTTTAGGAACTACTTTGTTGAAAGGCTTAAAAGTCTCTTTTCCCCTGAACACTCAAAGTCTCTGTGTTGATCATTTACCCTTCCCTTTTCTTTCTACAAGAATAAAGAGATTAACAACAAACTAACAAAGACTAACATTTCTTCAAAACAAAATAAAAGGTATATTAAACCACCTAGACTTAAACCCTAACCTTAACTAATGCCCCACAAAGACACACCAAACAGACCTGTGGTCTCGAATGTGTATGAGTGGGACATAGCATAGAGTACCTGAACATCTATGCTTCTTCCAGCAAAGTCATCACCAACAAGAGCCCTTAATTCATTCTGTTCCTAGTAGTATCTGGGTGTTATTATATAACAGGCATTCTTCTAGCAGCTAGGGATACGGCAACCAGTAGAACAGGCAAAATTCCTGTCCTGATGAAACTTACATAAAAAATGATTGTTTTAGTTTCCCAAATTCTTTTTTTTCCATTAAGTTTATTGGTACATTTTAGGTACAATACAGTTACATTCATCATTGGGATCCTGTACCTTTACATGATGTATCTTAGTTCTTATTTTTTCCCCATTCCCCTGCCCTCCCTTCCCTATTTACAAAGACTTTGTTTCCAGCTGGGGATTTAGATCAGTGGTTCCACCGCCTAAGTCCAAGGTCCCAAATTCGATCCCTGGTACGCCCCCCCCCCAAAAAGTCTAACAACAAAGACTTTGTTTCCATTTTTTTCCTTTTCTCATATTTTTTCTTTTCCCTTTTTTCCTTTCCCCTACCCCTCCCACTTCCCCTACTCCTTTAG